CCTGTGAGAATACAACATACAAATTATTACAGATGGCTTTTTGTTGAAACAACTGATTAAATGTTATAAATTGATAATTCAAATAATTTCCATTATTTTACAGAGAAAGTTAGTAAAAATCTTAAATACACAACCTTTGATTTTGTTTTTCACTAAATTATCTCCAAACAAAAGTGTATTGGTCTTTTGTTCTAAAGTGCATCCAATTAAAAAGAAATGGTTCAGTTCTGGCATCACCCTAAGCTCCCCCCAAAGTTCTTCTCTTTCTTTAACTAACAGCGGGCAATTGAAGATAAGGTGTTTTGAAGTTTGTTCTCTGTAGCCACATAAGCATTTTGGACTTTCTACATCTCTAAAATTATGTAAGAAAAAATGGCCAAAGAAAATAAAATCACATCTAATACGATTTAAGAATATTTCACTCTTTCGTGATAGTTCTAACTGAGATGTAGGTAATGGTAATTTTTTATCTTTAAGATGAGTTTTGACACTTCTCTTAAAACTAGCAAAACTTTTACTTTCTTTTTGATCAGTTGGGAGCTTTTCCCATAAACATATTGCTCTAGTAACTGGGGATTTGGAAAAGGAGCCAATTGGCTTTGGGGCAGTAAAATGTCGAATCCTTCTAAGGTTCACATTTTGTACCGGATTTCTATGCTGGTCAAAAATTCTTTGAAGGTACATGTATGAGGGGACAGTCTTGTTTTTAACCTGGTACATTAACTTTAAATATTTTTCATCTGTTTTAGTAGAAAGTTCATTCCAATTTAATGATTTAAATAATTTAGTTTTTGAGGTTCCTTGGATACACCCACTTATTAGTAAGGCAGCTCTATAATGCACCTGATCAAGTTTAGCAAGGTCATATTTAGTCGCTTTTTCAAATAAAATACTTCCATATTCCATTTTGGGGAGTATAAATGACAGATACATTTTTTCTAAATGTTTTGATCTTATTTTGTTTTTTAGAGCTTTCAAAGGATTTAACATTGTGTTACATTTATCAATAGTTTCTAGTATATGAGGCCTAAAAGATAAGTGTTCATCTAATATTATTCCTAAGTGTTTGTGGTCACTTGATCTGTTAATTTTTTCATTGCTTAAAAAGACAGGCGGGTGTTGAAGGTATTTCCTTCTTGATCCCTTAAAAATAATTTCTACACTTTTTGAGGGTTTAAAAATTGACTTCCATTTAA